GGCTCTAAAACAGAAATGTGAGTGGGGGGTCTTTGCTTTATGAAGGCATTCATTTTTGAACACCTTGGGAGTCTCCCTGCACTTTTGAGACAAGATAAGCCATGCCATCTATCATCGGTTACATATTGTCCTCAACTTATCTATGTTTTTTCCAATATTTTCAACCTAGGCGGAGTCCGATTGCAATTCTAAGCTGCTGGGTCGACACTTTCAAACTTAAAATTTTACAAGGTATGACATTCAACCGTTGCGATCCGAACCTAACCAGGTAAGCAATGAATCTTTTTACATCAGTAGGTTCTGTTTTCGAAATCATATGAGCGTTTTCTCTATCAAAAAAAGGCTCTGCCCATCTTTTTGGCTTCCGTTTTCTGGAGCTACTTCACGTTTTGCTGAATCTAACCAAAGTTTCAATTCACCATAAAATGTTCCATCCTCGTGCTCTAAGCCATAAATCTCACTTAAGGTAGCTTTCGCTCCTACTGCTGAGGCTAAAAAAGCGAGTAAAGCTAGTAGGCGAGCGGAAGACACGCCCAAGCCACCGTTGACTGCCGGAAGAACTGCTTGCAAAAATTGGCTATCATCATTTCTTTATTTGTAAACTTACATGAAGAGTTTCTGAAAATTCAATCATATTTTTCCAAAAAATCGTTTTGAAAAAAACAACAACGCAAAAAATATAGGAGTACCTGCAGGTTAAAGCAATTTTCTAAGAGAGAAAAACCATAATGTGCATCCAGCTTATCAATGTTCCGAAATCTTTTCCAATTCAGCTATTTTGTCATTTTGTATTTCTCATCGAAAAAATTCGCCGATAGGCAGGGAAGCCTAAGATTACATGTTCATCCTTGGTTTTTTTTTGATAAAATTTTTGAAATTGATTTATAATTGTATTGTACTGCGTACTTGTGGTCTGGCCTAGACAATATAGCTTTTCTGAGTTTGGGCTTAATCCATAGTTTTTTTTCTTAGTTTAGGCTTAACTCGTAGTCTTTTTCTGATTTCAGTATTTTTTTAAGAGAATGCATTAAAATTGTAATTTCAAACAAACGTTTTCGCACATTTTTGTGCATCATCAGCTTTTAAAGTTCTAAGCTATCTGTACGAAAAGATCAAAGATCCTAAGAAGTGTCATACAAATCATTATTTCAAAATTTAAAAAATTCAACCAATCACAACCTTACAAATATTACTGAAATTAGGTAACAACTGTTAGGTAACAATTTTAAACCTCAAGTCACAAATTTCTGAAAATTTTCACCTTTTTTTGTTTCTACCCTTTCGTTTTGTCGCTAATTTCATGCTAACATGTTAGTTAATTCAAATTTTTTTGTGCCAGATTTGTTTGATTCTGGAACTCGAGCCATAGTGACATCTCCCTACTTCTAACTCGTCGCGCGTGTTAATTGCCGGTCTTTCTTTTCTAATATGCATCGCCTCTAATGTAAGTAACTTAATGCTGCTGGACGCCTGGTCGATTGTCTTCCATTTAAACTCCGACTTACCACCCTCACTACCACACTGCTTTATAGGCTGTCCAACTGGGGTATCCTCTTTTCCCTGTTCCTCAGTCCTTGTGGTGAGATGTCGGATCGTCTGGCCAACATAGACGGATTTGAACCCCCAACATTCAAGTCTGTACACCACTTTTGATTTCAGTTCACTGGAAAAGGAGGATTTCAGAGAGGGCATGCATGTTTTTATTTTCTTCGTCGTGAATATTATCTGCGCATTGGTGATATCGCGCATTTTTTTGCTAATATCTGACTGTGATTCCCCTATATTGGACCATCAAGATTGGTGGTGAATCACTGCTATAATCACAGGGCTTCTTTTTCTCAGCCATGTTCTATTTGTTTTTGCCATCCCTGATGATCTTTTCAAGGGCATGCGACACAACCCGAGACAACCATTTTTCCGGATATTGGTTATCCAACCACTGCTCACGGTTGATTTTCATGGCTTTATCATATTCTTCCCATGTTGACGTACTGCGGAAAACCCAGTGAACAGTTCCTTCAATCACACTTCTCTTGTACTGAAGGGGGGCGCAGCTTCTAAAATTTAGTATGGTACCTGTATCTGTTGGTTTTTGATACCACCCTCAGCTAATTTTCCTGCTTTTGTGAATACTAATTTGTAAATTCAAAAATGCCAAAGTTCCGTTTGTGTTTGGTGTCTCTATTGTGAACTGTAAATTTGGATGTAGTAAGTTTGCAGCCCGTAACACTTTTTCAGGATCACCCTTCACTGTTCTCACTATATCACAACGTAACGGAGAAATAACTTAGCTTGTTGCCCTGACTTGTTTTTCTCTCTTATTGCGATGCATTTTCTGCAGTACCAGACGGTTTCACTTATATTTCGATCCTCATCATCTGATATATCACCTCATTTTACGTGATACCAGTTCAAACAGCATTCACATTTTACACCTTTTGATCTGTACGTGACCTTCTTGTTGCACTCGGAACATATTCCGTTTAGATCCTTCTCGGGCAAAAACATTTCGGGAATATCCCTCGATAGTGCAGTTTCGTACTGCTTCGGCCAAAGATTTGCTAAACTAACGGCAAGAGATGCCCCGTTGCCAAACCATCTTTCTGAACGTACCATGTTTCATTGCACTTGAAATGGACTCGACTAACTGCCATGTTCAACAGTCTCTTCATGGTTTTCCTAGCAATTGATGGTGGCTCATCTTGCTCATACAGTTTTCTCAGAGCTATGTCTATCGCTTCTTTCAGTGGAACATTTGTGTACAAACTCTTCGCATCTAGAGATATCAAGTTTTCATTGGGCTCAAGATTAGTGCTCTCTAAGATTTCTCTCGCATCTAGTGAGTTGGTTTCGATGTTTGCGCCCTCAATTTTCTCAAAAAATTTTGAAAGAACCTTGTTCAAGTTATAATAAGAGCTACCAGGCAAGGAGAGGACCGGTCTTAATGGGGTATTCACTTTATGCACTTTCGCCAACCCATAAAGCCTGGCGGGCTGCCCCCCAGTAGACCTCATCTTTGTGTAGAGACTCTCACTTATTTCATCTTTTTTCCTCATAGCCAACAACTCCTTATTGATGTCTCTTTCTATCTTCAAAACAATCGCATCACTTGTTCCTTTACTTTTGCTGAATTGATTTGAATCTAATGTATCCGACAACTTGTTCTCGTAGGTGTCCGTACTTATTACACAAAAACCCACGCCTTTGTCATACGGTACCGCAACTAATCCATTACTCTTCAGATACTTTCGGGCCTTCTCAACGCCTTTGTCAGATGATGTTTGTTTCACACTTTTAGCATAGGCTTTTGCCACATTTCGATCTCACAAAGGGCCTCCCCGGGGACTTAACAATTTTTGAGATACGATAGAAAGATGTTAATGTCGGCGAGAAAGTGCGTCTCATTAAATTTATCCCTGACGGGATGCTTTGGCCCTAATGCCAACACTTGTTGTACCCAATTTGGTAATTCAACATCGTCAAGAGCTCTTACTGAACCCTCACCTTGCTTCCCTAGAGGTCGGTCTTGCCTTTCTGATAGTTTCATTAGCTTCTTCTGATGGGTCTCTTTGACTGTTGCTGTTTGTCTGTCCCCTAAGAGTTAAATATTTAATTACCGAAGGCCAAAACTTCTCATCTACACCCCTCTGTACTGCGCCTCTCGCCCTTTCTAGTTTGACCAACGTTTTTCTCATCTGTCCTTGCCTTGTTTATCTCCGTTCTTAGAAGTTTTGTCTGAAAACTGTGTACCGCTTGGTTTGAAAACACCCCATTTTCCGGTACCCTGAACCTCAAAAAATCAGGTATAATGTCGTTTTCTAGACAAACTCTCAAAAATTTAACACGTTGGTGACAGTTGATAAATTTAACATATATGGACGCATAATCACGGACTAATTTCCAAATGAGTTTGTTTTTCAAAGTCCAAATCAAGAATGGAGGTGAGAGTACAACTGTGCTCATTGGTTACAAAGAAATAGTAAATTAGCGCTAGAGTTTTGTATTGAGAATTCTATACAGAGATTTTTGCTGCAATCTGATGGTCGAAAATGCGTAAATTTAATCTACTTAACAATCCCCCCTCTTAAAAGAGGGGGGGGGGAGGAGGCAATTGTTTAGTAGATCCAATTAATTAACAACAAAAGCCCGACTACTACAGGGATGCGGCCCCCTCACCAACCAAAGAGTTCCTCTTTGGTTTTTTCATGACATCCATTTTCGGCCGACAAACCCTTAAATTTTGCAGTATATACTAATTTTAAATGGGAGCACGCGCTGAAAAAAGCAATTTTTTTATAAATTTTTTCAAAAAATCCCAAAAACAACTTTTTTGGCCTGTTTTTTTTTTGAACACTTGTCCCCCCCCCCCCACTTGAGAAAATCCTAGATCCGCCTCTGCACTGTCACTTTAATTTCGGCTGGTGGCCCTTAATTTGGGCCCTCAGGTTGGGGGCCCTTAATAGTTTTTTATATTTTTCGGCTATCCGGGAACGAATATTTTTTTCGGCTATCCGGGAACGAATATTTTTTTCGGCTATCCGGGAACGAATTTATTTTTCGGCTATCCGGGAACGAATTTATTTTTCGGGTATTCGGCTCCGTGACACGCCACCTTGGGGTCGTAGGCTAGGTTTCCATCATCTAAATACCAAACGTTTATTTTGGATTCAAGCTTTTTTGCAAGCGTCTGTATTGCTTCAGCAAAAAGCGGTGGAGCCTCGGGGTCACCTTGTTGTGTTCCTTCCTCCGACAACATAGTGATAGAATTTCCGTAAACAAGATAACTCGGTTTACTATAGGCGCAATGAGTATATTTGTAAAACTCCGAGCTGTCCGAAAAAAACGTTATTCAGCATAGTTTCTTTATTCCCTATCGAAATAAAGCCCAGGATTTGATTTGAATGTGAGGAAGGGTCGCTTGACTGTAACCTCGGTAAATATCATACTAATGACAATGCATTAATGTTTTGGCAACCTCAGATATATATCATGCTTTTTTCAGTTGAAATGAGTTTTTGGCTTAAAACCTCTTCGAGGTGTATAACTTGTCGTAAACACTTGACTACCACCTCAATGAAAGTTTTCAATCGTGATGCGAAAAGACGGCACAGAGACTTGATGGCTGCCAGCGAATCTATCGAGACTTACGAATACCTAAGAGTGGAAATGGCAGAAAGACTCAGTGATCGACTTGCGGATATAACAAGGCAGTTCAGCAGATAAGTATGAATATTATTAAAAATATGAATCATGCAAATTTAAATCGAATGAAATTAGGGCTCTTTGTTTTTATTTATTATTCGTTTCGTGTTTATAAGGCCCTTGATCTTGGATGCGGGAGAGGTTACTTGTCATCAATCGTAGATGGAGATGACATTAAAGAATTATACCAATGTGAGCTGTCCAGTCAGCTTCTGAATAGAGTACTGCCGTCCAAAATCTCAAACACAAAATCATTTCATATGGATGAAGAAAAAATTGAATTTGAGAAGGACTTCTTCGATTTAGGTTAGTGTAGGAGCTCATAATTGGCTCACAAAGATACCATTGAACATAAGACTGCAAAGGGACCGACCTTTTACCAGAAAAGTTATAACATGGATCTTTTACCAGACTCGTTAAACAAGTTTGATTGACAGATGTAATGACGTCATTTAGACAGGTTAAAGACAATGATTTCACGGTTTCTCAGCGAAGGTTTGTTTGTTCTAACCGCTTCCTTTTCGAATCTTCCACTAATTTTCACTTATCTCAATTGAATTATTGCATGGGGTTGTGCTAAAAGGTCGGCCTGGTAAAAGACCTAGCCCCGGCTGCAAGGTTTTAAAGACGTCTTTATTAGTTTGTTTTTGCCAGGTATTAAGCCGGCGTGCTTTGCTCAAGCAACGCGACTAACGTGGCATAGATTAATTTCTGTGAAACTTGAACTGCGTGTGCAAAGTTGAGTTTCTATGAATACAATACATATTTTCATAACTGTTCGTTTTTGCCAGGTATTCAGCCGGCGTGCTTTGCTCAAGCAACGCGACTAACGTGGCATAGATTATTTTCTGGGAAACTTGAGCTGCGTGTGCAAATTTGAGTTTCTATGATTACAATATATATTTTCATAACTGTTCGTTTTTGCCAGGTATTAAGCCGGCGTGCTTTGGTGAAGCAACGCGACTAACGTGGCATAGATCAATTTCTGTGAAACTTGAACTGCTTGTGCAAAGTTGAGTTTCTATGAATACAAAATATTTTTTCATAACTGTTCGTTTTTGCCTGGTATTAAGCCGGCGTGCTTTGCTCAAGCAACGCGACTAACGTGTCATAGATTAATTTCTGTGAAATTTGAGCTGCGTGTGGAAAGTTGAGTTTCTTTGTATACAAAATATTTTTTTTCATAACTGTTCGTTTTTTCCAGGTAATAAGCCGGCGTGCTTTGCTCAAGCAACGCGACTAACGTGGCATAGATTAATTTCTGTGAAACTTGAACTGCTTGTGCAAAGTTGAGTTTCTATGAATACAAAATATATTTTCATAACTGTTCGTTATTGCCAGGTATTAAGCCGGCGCCCTTTGCTCAAGCAACGCGACTAATGTGGCAAAGATTATTTTCTGTGAAACTTGAACTGCGTGTGCAAATTTGAGTTTCTTTGATTACAATATATATTTTCATAACTGTTCGTTTTTGCCAGGTATTAAGCCGGCGTGCTTTGGTGAAGCAACGCGACTAACGTGGCATAGATCAATTTCTGTGAAACTTGAACTGCTTGTGCAAAGTTGAGTTTCTATGAATACAAAATATTTTTTTCATAACTGTTAGTTTTTGCCTGGTATTAAGCCGGCGTGCTTTGCTCAAGCAACGCGACTAACGTGTCATAGATTAATTTCTGTGAAATTTGAGCTGCGTGTGGAAAGTTGAGTTTCTTTGTATACAAAATATTTTTTTTCATAACTGTTCGTTTTTTCCAGGTAATAAGCCGGCGTGCTTTGCTCAAGCAACGCGACTAACGTGGCATAGATTAATTTCTGTGAAACTTGAACTGCTTGTGCAAAGTTGAGTTTCTATGAATGCAATATATATTTTCATAACTGTTCGTTATTGCCAGGTATTAAGCCGGCGTGCTTTGCTCAAGCAACGCGACTAATGTGGCATAGATTATTTTCTGCGAAACTTAAACTGCTTGTGCAAAGTTGAGTTTCTTTGTATACAAAATATTTTTTCATAACTGTTTGTTTTTGCCAGGTAATAAGCCGGCGTGCTTGGCTCAAGCAACGCGACTAACGTGGCATAGATTAATCTCTGTGAAACATGAGCTGCGTGTGCAAAGTTGAGTTTCTATGAATACAAAATATTTTTTCATAACTGTTCGTTTTTGCCAGGTATTAAGCCGGCGTGCTTTGGTGAAGCAACGCGACTAACGTGGCATAGATTAATTTCTGTGAAACTTGAACTGCTTGTGCAAAGTTGAGTTTCTATGAATACAAAATATTTTTTCATAACTGTTCGTTTTTGCCTGGTATTAAGCCGGCGTGCTTTGCTCAAGCAACGCGACTAACGTGTCATAGATTAATTTCTGTGAAATTTGAGCTGCGTGTGGAAAGTTGAGTTTCTTTGTATACAAAATATTTTTTTTCATAACTGTTCGTTTTTTCCAGGTAATAAGCCGGCGTGCTTTGCTCAAGCAACGCGACTAACGTGGCATAGATTAATTTCTGTGAAACTTGAACTGCTTGTGCAAAGTTGAGTTTCTATGAATACAAAATATATTTTCATAACTGTTCGTTATTGCCAGGTATTAAGCCGGCGCCCTTTGCTCAAGCAACGCGACTAATGTGGCAAAGATTATTTTCTGTGAAACTTGAACTGCTTGTGCATAGTTGAGTTTCTTTGTATACAAAATATTTTTTCATAACTGTTTGTTTTTGCCAGGTAATAAGCCGGCGTGCTTGGCTCAAGCAACGCGACTAAGGTGGCATAGATTAATCTCTGTGAAACATGAGCTGCGTGTGCAAAGTTGAGTTTCTATGAATACAAAATATTTTTTCATAACTGTTCGTTTTTGCCAGGTATTAAGCCGGTGTGCTTTGCTCAAGCAACGCGACTAACGTGGCATAGATTAATTTCTGTGAAATTTGAGCTGCGTGTTGAAAGTTCAGTTTCTATGAATACAATATATATTTTCATAACTGTTCGTTATTGCCAGGTATTAAGCCGGCGTGCTTTGCTCAAGCAACGCGACTAATGTGGCATAGATTATTTTCTGCGAAACTTAAACTGCTTGTGCAAACTTGAGTTTCTTTGTATACAAAATATTTTTTCATAACTGTTTGTTTTTGCCAGGTAATATTCCGGCGTGCTTGGCTCAAGCAACGCGACTAACGTGGCATAGATTAATCTCTGTGAAACATGAGCTGCGTGTGCAAAGTTGAGTTTCTATGAATACAAAATATTTTTTCATAACTGTTCGTTTTTGCCAGGTATTAAGCCGGTGTGCTTTGCTCAAGCAACGACTAACGTGGCATAGATTAATTTCTGTGAAATTTGAGCTGCGTGTTGAAAGTTGAGTTTCTATGAATACAATATATATTTTCATAACTGTTCGTTATTGCCAGGTATTAAGCCGGCGTGCTTTGCTCAAGCAACGCGACTAATGTGGCATAGATTATTTTCTGCGAAACTTAAACTGCTTGTGCAAAGTTGAGTTTCTTTGTATACAAATATTTTTTCATAACTGTTCGTTTTTGCCAGGTAATAAGCCGGCGTGCTTTGCTCAAGCAACGCGACTAACGTGGCACAGGTTAATCCCTGTGGAACATGAGCTGCGTGTGCAAAGTTGAGTTTCTATCAATGCATTATATATGTTTTTACTGTTTCTTAACTGTTCGTTTTTGCCAGGTATTAAGCAGGCGTGCTTTGCTCAAGCAACGCGACTAACGTGGCATAGATTAATTTCTGTGAAACTTGAACTGCTTGTGCAAAGTTGAGTTTCTATGAATACAAAATATATTTTCATAACTGTTTGTTATTGCCAGGTATTAAGCCGGCGCCCTTTGCTCAAGCAACGCGACTAATGTGGCAAAGATTATTTTCTGTGAAACTTGAACTGCTTGTGCAAAGTTGAGTTTCATTGTATACAAAATATTTTTTCATAACTGTTCGTTTTTGCCAGGTAATAAGCCGGCGTGCTTTGCTCAAGCAACGCGACTAACGTGGCATAGGTTAATCCCTGTGGAACATGAGCTGCGTGTGCAAAGTTGAGTTTCTATCAATGCAATATATATGTTTTTACTGTTTCTTAACTGTTCGTTTTTGCCAGGTATTAAGCAGGCGTGCTTTGCTCAAGCAACGCGACTAACGTGGCATAGATTAATTTCTGTGAAACTTGAACTGCTTGTGCAAAGTTGAGTTTCTATGAATACAAAATATATTTTCATAACTGTTCCTTATTGCCAGGTATTAAGCCGGCGCCCTTTGCTCAAGCAACGCGACTAATCTGGCAAAGATTATTTTCTGTGAAACTTGAACTGCTTGTGCAAAGTTGAGTTTCTTTGAATACAAAGTATTTTTTCATAACTGTTCGTTTTTGCCAGGTATTAAGCCGGTGTGCTTTGCTCAAGCAACGCGACTAACGTGGCATAGATTAATTTCTGTGAAATTTGAGCTGCGTGTTGCAAGTTGAGTTTCTATGAATACAATATATATTTTCATAACTGTTCGTTATTGCCAGGTATTAAGCCGGCGTGCTTTGCTCAAGCAACGCGACTAATGTGGCATAGATTATTTTCTGCGAAACTTAAACTGCTTGTGCAAAGTTGAGTTTCTTTGTATACAAAATATTTTTTCATAACTGTTCGTTTTTGCCAGGTAATAAGCCGGCGTGCTTTGCTCAAGCAACGCGACTAACGTGGCATAGGTAATCCCTGTGAAACATGAGCTGCGTGTGCAAAGTTGAGTTTCTATAAATGCAATATATATGTTTTTACTGTTTCTTAACTGTTCGTTTTTGCCAGGTATCAAGCAGGCGTGCTTTGCTCAAGCAACGCGACTAACGTGGCATAGGTTAATCCCTGTGAAACATGAGCTGCGTGTGCAAAGTTGAGTTTCTATAATTGCAATATATATGTTTTTACTGTTTCTTAAATGTTCGTTTTTTGCCAGGTATTAAGCCGGTGTGCTTTGCTCAAGCAACGCGACTAACGTGGCATAGATTAATTTCTGTGAAATTTGAGCTGCGTGTTGCAAGTTGAGTTTCTATGAATACAAAATATATTTTCATAACTGTTCGTTATTGCCAGGTATTAAGCCGGCGTGCTTTGCTCAAGAAACGCGACTAACGTGGCATAGATTAATTTCTGTGAAACTTGAACTGCTTGTGCAAAGTTGAGTTTCTATGAATACAAAATATATTTTCATAACTTTTTCGTTTTTGCCAGGTAATAAGCCGGCGTGCTTTGCTCAAGCAACGCGACTAACGTGGCATAGATTAATCTCTGTGAAACATGAGCTGCGTGTGCAAAGT